ACAGGATTGCTCGTATCCGGTTGAAACACCATGTAAGCGATTCCGGGGTGAAACAGTGTGTGTTTGGGCATGATGGAGGCTGTCATTCAATGATTGAAGTCATCTGGAAACACCGGCTTCATTAGCTGGGACGTGTGTTTCGGATGTCGTCCCAACGGCTTCCATACCGTTCATTGTTTGCTAGCCATGCGACTGGACGGGGAAGCAGAGTTGTGACCAGTCTATGACATGGGGCCATGGGATGATAGGCAGTTGTATCGGGTTAGCATCTGTTAGTTCATCACGACTCCCTGGGTGGCGTCTGAGACATCACACAATTCGGGGGCTTGAGAGGTTACCAGATATGGCTCAGAATCGAAACTAGTCGCTGTCATGTTGTAGCTTCCTTCTATCTCCTGCCGCTGAAAAGTAATGAATGTATTTTACTGGACTTCCCTTCTAATCATGCTACTCTTACTGTTTTTCTTCCTTATATGTCCACTTCCAGTCGTTTATGTCTTTACAATGTTGTTATACTATTTTGTGTGCTGCATTTCCTGGTACCCCTGCTGTATGTACCATGTTTGTGTTCTAATAACAGTAATAATGATAATAATATAATGTGCAACACTAGGTGTTTGTATCACTTGTTTAAAAGCATGCCGACCTAGTCATTGGACTCATAAACTATCAGGTTTGAGGAATAAAATTGTATTCTTATGGTGGACGGGATGATGATGATGATGAAACTTACTGGAATACAATTATCAATCATTCAGCCAAAAGTTGGAATCTGCCTTAATTTCCCCGTGTGTTGACTGGTGCTATGGATAGTTATGGAAGGACTGTAAATTAACAATGTTTAAATTGATTGTATTTGTGTTATGCAGAAAAAGTGTTGAGCATAGCGTACAATTATTTAGATAGAGCGTATACACAAAATACGTAGAATAATTAGACTAATATCTTATTTGTATTTTCTTGTTTGTCTGTAGTTACATATATCTTTTCATTTTGTCATTAAGAAAAAAAAAATTATCAGACTTACAAATAAAATCTTATTCTGTTGTTAAACTCCTATTTTCTAATATTTTTGTCGCTATGTGTATACATATGTCCCATACAGCGTAAACGGTCCACATGTCCCATTATATCATCCTTCTGTTGGCGTTACAGATACACTACAATCGGTTCACTTACCTAAAAGTTTTTTACGCAGAAAGAAAAAACCACGATTTAGCTTAGACAATGAATCCACTGAACACGTCAACTCTATGAATGCATGTTTAGGTCCAAACTGCAATCGAACTATTAATCCTCAAGTAAGTTACATGTGCTTAATGTTATAATGAATTTCTATGTAAAGCTAAAAATCGTACTATGGAATGGTCAGTGTTTAAACAATGTTTAAACACTCAGTTTTTTTAATACTTCAACTGAGCTGTTTACGGACAAGTGGTTTACTTCTAAGTAGTTTCCTCTATGGACTAAAAATCATAGGGGTACAGGATGGCTGTTTTATCCTAACTTTAAGACTCTTCGGCACAATATGCACCTATGATTCTGTGAAGAGTCGAAATCAGAATAACTGAGTTTAGTGTGATGTTTTATGCTCGTCAATGACGTTCGCTACACAGCAAATTGGTAGAAGTAGGGGAAATATAAACCATTGGATTACAGCCTAGTCTGAGCTCAATCTCTTACGGTGTTGTGTCATCAACTGTTCAATGCTACCAAACTATTTAATGGTTTTTCATCTTATGTGAATACATGATGATAACTGTCTTTAAATCGTTCCGTTTATTCAACTCTCGTAATAATCCAACAGAGTTTTTTGTTTACTGATTATTACTGTTGTAAATTTACTGAATCTAAGTTATTTACTGCCATTGAAGTATGTAGTTCCTTTGTGTATCGATATCCTCCTTTTGTATTGTACCTCTGTTGATTACCTCTTGATAGTATTTTACTAGTGGTTAAACACTTCAGGAAGTACAAATCATGTGCCGACCAAATCGCAACGCTTCGCATCATCATAGAACAAAGTATAGAATGGCAGTCAACTCAACTCAACCTCAACTTCATCGATTTTGAAAAGGCCTTTGACAGCGTCGACCGAGAAGTAATTTGGCAACTGCTTCAACACTACAGAATACCACAAACCTTTATCAACCTCACTCAACAACTATATGAAGACGCCACATACCAGCCAAGTAATTCACGACGGGAAGCTCAGTGATGCTTTTGAAGGGAAGACGAGTGAAACAAGGTTGCCTACTATCATCCATGATATTCCTGATTGTGTTGTGGTCGACTGGATCATACAGCAAACAGTGGGGGACGAGAAGAGGGGGATGCGCTGGCTGGACCGTGGAAAAGATCCTAGAAGACTTGGATTTCGCCAACGATGACTTGTGTCTGATGTCACATAAGCACGAAGATCTACAGGCAAAATCCAACAGGTGGATAGAAAAGGCAGGGCAGCGAAGACGAGCCTTCAAGTGAATGTAGAAAAGACAGGTGATGAAGATACCCAACCAACAACACCAACAGCAACAACAAACTCCAATCTCTATCAACGGGAGAAGGAAGTAGACTACTCCACCGATCTAGGCCGCATCGTTTCACCTAGAGACGGTGGCACAGACGAAGACGTTAGAGCCAGCCAGGATCGGAAAAGCAAGACAGGCGTTTTTGCATTAACCTGAAACCAGTGTGGAGATCTTCTGCTCTCAGCATGTGGAAGAAGATGCGGATTTTCAACACCAATGTCAGTCAAGTCAGTGCTGCTATATGGTTCAGAAACTTGGCTCGTTACGAAAGGGATTTTCAACAAACTGCAGACATTCATCAACAACTGCCCCCTACGCTGGCTCGTTACTGAAGATCAGATGGCGATAAAGAATCAGCAACAAGGAACTCTGGCTGACTGGCAACGAACCAACCAAGAAGCTATCGCTCAACAAATATGCATTGGAAGGAAATGGAGATGGATTGGATTGAGCATACACTGAGAAGACCGAGTGGGGACATCACGCGTCAGGCCAGGCACTGGAGTGGAACCCTGATGGGAAGCGATGAGTTGGGCGTCCCAGGTGAGGGTGATATGGAGGAGATCGTGCGAGGAGGAAATGAGAGCTTGTGGGCTGTGATGGAGCCAGATTCAAAAGATTTCAGAGAACAGAGTAGAATGGAGACATGCTAGTGAAGCCCTATGTTCCATTAGGAACCCAAGGGACAAAATAATAATAATAAAGGTGAAATCAAAGGGGGGATCAGTTTGTCCTGTGCTGCTAAGATGTACATTCATTCAAGTAAATCTTGGTGTTTTTTTTGGGGTGTGATTTGAATACAGAGATCAGTACTTCAGTTACGTGGCAGGTATGTACTCTTTTGCTAACTGACAATAATCAAATTGAGTACAGCAAGTTGTAACTAGGACTCATCAAGATATTTTCATAATTCTTTAGTTGATACAACTTAGAAGACTGCCTAAAAACTTCAAGTATCAATGGATTGAAATGATTATTATCAATAACCAAAACATAGACAATAGACATCGCGGTCGACTCTCTAAAATTAGTGGTTATTTGCATTTATCTGAATTCATTTTTCAGCAAGACCAGTGGATATTAGTAAGTTGTAGGTACGCTCAACCGATGATTCCTTAAACAGAATGAAACACATTTTATCATTAAATGATTTGTCGCTTGGGTTCCTAGTGGAACATAAGGCTTCACTAGCACGTCTCCATGTCACTCTCTTCTCTACAGTCTTCTCAACCTGGCCCCACGTCTGCCCAGAAGCTTTCATTTCCACCTCACACAATCTCCTCCATGTCACGCTCGCCTCGAACGCCCAACTCCTCGTTTCCACTTGAGAGCCTGGACTGACGCGTGATGTCCCCAATCGGTCTTCTCAGTGTTTGCCCAATGCAATCCATCAACACTTCCTTCTGCATATTTGTTGGATGATGGGTTATTGGTTGGTCCGTTGCCAGCCGGCCAGCCAACCAGAGTTCCTTGTTGCTTATCCTTATTATTCTATTCTGGCCATCTGATCTTCAGTATCGAGCCAGCGTAGGCAGCAGCTGTTAATGAATGTGTGTAGTTTGTTGGAAATGCTTTTCGCGACGCGTCAAGTCTCTCAACTATCACATAGAAACAGTGACTTGACTGATAGTGTTGAAAATCTGGATCTTGTTCTTTATGCTGAGTGCGGTCGATCTCCACCCTGGTTTCAGATTAATGAAGGCCTGCCTTGCTTTTCCGATCCTGGCTTTGACGTCTTCATCTGTGCCACCTGTAGTTGAAACGATGCTGCCTAGGTAGGTGTAGGTGAAAGAGACAACTTCCTTTACATTTCTCCCGTTAATGTTGTTTGGTGCTTGTTGTCGTTGTTGTTGGCTGAGTATCTTCATCACCTCTGTCTTCTCTACGTTCACTTGAAGTCCCGTCCTCGCTGCCCTGCCTCTTCTGACAACTTGTTGGATTTTGCCTGTACATCTTCGAGTTTGTGCGATATTAGATATAAATCATCATCGGCGAAGTCCAAATCTTCTAGGGTCTTGAAACCCATATACTAAACCCAATTACTATCACCAGCATATTGTTTCTCTGTAAGAGATTGGTCTGTATCTATTACAATACCATTGTGTTGTATAAATGTGAATAATTGTCATAGTTAATTTACTCAAAACCAGGTAATGGATGCCGTTACTTTGTTTGCGTTGGTTAAGACATATATCTCGATAAAATGGCATACTTCAGCTCACCGAAAATAATTAAGTAACTAGAATTGGTTTAACTAGATGAAGGTATATGGTGGTACAATCAAAAGCATCATCTATCTTTGTTCAGTTTAGTTGTTTGATATGAGTTTGTGTTCTGATGCCTTTATAGAACTCAGTGTTCGAACTACTGAAATTCAGGTCTGGAATGACAGATTAAGTCAACGTAGAACGTCAGATAAAAGTGCACTGGAATGATTTATTTTTATTTCGGTGAGATTCACTATAAACTGTTTCATGTATGCTGGATAACTTATCGACTCTTATACATACTTTAATTCATTTATACTTTAGATTAGTCTCTACTGTAGTAATAAGTGTTTGAAAGCCTATGGAATGGATGTACTTCGAATAGTATGTAGAAAACATGGATCGGATCCTCAAGATAAATCGGTCAGTTGTTTTAGTGTTCTCCTCTTATATTTTAGTAATTTTTGTATACCAATATTTTCAACAATTGTTATTATTATTATTACTCTTACTGTTATTGATTTAGGTTAATAATAGCATTACATGCTGGATTTTCTATATTGCAAATGAATTGAAGTCTCCCTATATGAACTACTGGATACAAGTGTAGTAGTTAAAAGATCACTTACTGCGATACCGAAGCCAGGCGGAGCTGTAGCTCTGATTGAGGGGGGTGACTACCAACCTTTGGGTCATGCATTCGAATCCTGTTCCATCTACCTCACTCAGATGGTATCACTAGCTTTCACACAATAAGTGTGGTTCATTGCCTACTGCACTGGTGTACACGGGGTAGCTGAGTGCACCTCATAACACAGAAACTATTATTACTGTTATTACTTTAGCTGCTACTCTCTGTTGCATGTGTTAGTGTATAGATCGCTTCACTGACTTAATCAAGTTACTTTTGTCTCTTATTTTAATTGGCTTATTAAATTTATCACACAATTGAACAGTATTGTTTACTGGATTACTTTTCCGACATAATTTATTGTCCATAGTCATATTAAGATAACTACACTACTTTGAGATATCCTTTATTTAGTCTTAATTTCCCCGCCGTCTTTGTCATATGGATAGTAAGATTTTCCAAATATCTGAAACAGGTGTTGAATCCTTCCTGTTGTATGTATCAGGTGTTTATTCGATAAACAAAGATTCACTTATCAATCTTTCCCTCCTTGTTAGTCTTAAGGATTTTCATCCTATCCCATCGTATTGTGTGGTTATATGTCATTGCATGCATAGCTATGACCAAGCTATTTTCTAACTTCCTTATCTTACTAGGATCTGCCAATTTTAACCTAGCTTGGACAGCCTAATTCACCCTGACCGACTACTTTGACCTATGTATTTGACTTCGCAATCGTTGCAAGAGATTCGGCGAACTAAGTTATTGGATCAATAAGATCGTTTAACCTACAAAGCTTATTTCTAAGTGAATTTGTTGGTTTAAATGCCACTCTAATCCTAGCCAACCTTATTGAGAATCCTACATAGTGTCTCTGAGCTGCCTTTCTTGTATGGTAATACTGTAGAGGTTTTGAATTCTCTGTTCACAGTATTGCCACTACCATTATTAAAATTGTTATTACTAACAGGGTGGAAAGAGAGGTTGATGCCTGAATCCTTGTTTATTGTTTCAACACCTAATACATACAACAGGAAGGATTCAACACCTGATCCGGATATATGAAAAATCCTACTATCCATATCACAAAAGGAACGAGGAAATTAGGACACTATAAAGGATATCTCAAAGTTGTGCAGTTATCTTGATATGACTATGGACAGCATAAATTATGTCCGAAATGTAATCCAGTAGACAATACTGTTCCACTGTGTGATAAATTTAACAAACTAATTAAAATGGAATTACTTTTGTCTTCCTCAATTAACGTCAGATGTAGAGGATACATACATGGATTTTCATATTAAGTCACTTTGAAAAGAAACTGAATTATGGCTGGAGTAGAGAACCTACAAAATACACTTTTTGACAACAGTTGGCTTTTTACTTCCACCGTTTATTTTTTTTCCCCGTTGAATCATTGGATGATTTAGAAATACCCGGCCATTCACCTTCCGAAATATTAGCTCATCCAGATCTTTTTATTGTAATCTGAATCGGTTGAAATCAGATTCATCGTCTAGTAATTGGTTATTAACCACATTACCTAGGCTAGGTTTGTTTAACTTACTGTAATTATTTATACCACTATAATGAGTAGTAATTAGAAAGATTCCACTTTGTAATCAACTTCAAACCAACAGTTACGATGTCGTCTAGCCTACATAACCTAATTACGGGTGTAATTTTAAAAATAATAATAATAATAATATAGTTCGATGTATAATTTGGTTTTTGTCAAATAAAAATAAATAGTTTGTTATATTCTCTTCGCTTATAAAATTCAACAGCATCATTTGGATACGCATAAAACTTTAGTCGTCTTGGATCGTAGAAGTGGTACTGTTCTCAATGGAACTAGAGCACCGACTAGTAATAATCTAATTGAATTTCTATCCGTTCATCAAACTTTTCAGGTAGGTTTTTCATTCATATATTAAACAAAGTGTCTTTGCTGATAGTACGTACGCCTTGACTATTTTCTCCTGTTCACTTTTTAGGTGGTAGAAACTCATTTTCTGCGGTGCTCATTTGTGTCTGTGTATATGCATAGAGTGTCTTTGTTCTGAACTACTTCCAATGACTGATCTTTTAAATCCCGAAGGGATTTGGTTTCAACATATTGATAGCTAAACTGTGGCAAATGAGCTTGTGAAATGTTCGTGTCAGCGTCGAACTCTGAAGCATCAGTTGGATTGTGGACAAATTACAGCACTTTGATTAGTCTCAAAGGAATAACCATTTTCATGTTATCGTTTTGCAATCTGACCATTAAGCTAGGATACTTGTCATTGTAGCACAGTTGACTGGATGAAATTGGCAGGAAGCCCTCTGCGAAAAAAGTTTCGGTCTAATTAGCACTCGTTAGCAAGGCGTATCTACAACCTCGAATAACTTGACTATAACATCTTTGATTACAGTATTGGGAGACACGGATTTGAGTTTGAGAGGGGGTATTAGTCTCCTCGGGGTTGCAGATGTGCTTTACTGAAGAGTGCCAACAAGCAAGAAACCTATGTCGAGCGATGCCTGCTTCTAGTTGCTTCCAACCAACTAAAATTAAAATGTCTAGACATGGAATCGTGTATAGTTGGAACTAATGAATACAATAGCCTTTCGAGTAAAGAAATTCCTTTTTCAAATAACCCTTATCCTTTTCAACTGCTTTTAATCAAAAATCACCAGCAACAAAAAGTTGATTTTGGTTTCACTGTGTGAGTTCTTAACTGACGATTCCCACCGAACCATCTTTTATTGGCTTACTAGTTAGAAATCACTCTCAAAAACTAAACTGTCTTAAATCATAGTTTTAACAGTAGACATAATCTTTACCAAATGAATCCTCACCACTATGCAGGAATAGGTTAACTGATCAGTATTCTACACAAACAATTATTAGCGTTAAATTACTCAGCTGTTTAAAGTAAGAAAAAACTGTTCTAGTTTTTGTGTATTTTACCTGTTTTGATCATTATGATTACCGATTTGCGTGGTTTTCATGAAACAAACTTTATTCAGTAGTATATTTCACATACAGATTGTGTTGTTTCCTAATAAATATTTATGATTTAGGCTATCTCATATTGAGGTAAAGTATTGGATAATGCTAGAGTAGTTGAAATAAATCCACCATTTGAATTTCGTGCTTTTTGAGGCTAATTATTACTTGGGGAGTTGCATCAGCCCGAACGGGATAGTTGTTGACGAAACTTCAGCTCAGATACAGAAAGCCAGTTTAGCATTTCCCAACTTGCGGAATCTGTCACGCTGGCAAAATACTCCACTACCTATAAATGATTGAGTATGCTGCACTACAGCCCATTTTGTCAGGCTATATGACTATGAGAAATGACCGTTAAAAGTAGAAGATATGTAGCGATTACACCCCTTTAATCACAGATGTTTTCGTAGCATTGGTCACATTTAGTGGAATCACCGTGTGAGCAAGGTCGAAGTCAGGTGAAGGGTACTAGATAAGAGAGGCTAGCAAGTCGATTGATGAGGTTGTGAACCTTACTCAACTGAGATAGCTTCGATGTGTACTGCGCATACCAAGCCACCGCCTACCTCTACATGCCATGCTAGGGGAAGTTTGATTAGGTTAGAAGAAGACTCAGAGTGGTCAGATCAAACGTGGCACCAGTCGATGAAGTCTCTTATTGTTGGTCTGACCAGTGTGGAGGAGACATAGACTAACTGGCTAGAGTCCTTGAGACGAAAGGAATTATTGGTTGACGACTCTTCCTGACATGGTCGAAAATCGGTCACAATAGCTCAGATGTATTCACTTTTTGACATCTTCTAAAGTCTGAATATTTCCAGTGACCATTATCTTCAAACTGTTTATCCTCACACAACTTTGTCTTCTATGATATCACCGATACACCTGTATGCGAGATTCTACGTTGATTTAGTCAGTCAGTAATTCGAACACGTCATTTAAAGATATTTTCATTCAGGTATTTGGCTTATGTTTCATTTGCCGCTATTTTGATGCTCACCACTTATTAGCTATCAGGCAATTGACTAATGCATCTTAGTAACTATTTAATATGTACGTAAAACTAGTCTGAATTATTTTCAGTGTGCGCAAACCATCCAGAATCGACGGGGATGGGATAGATGCAAGTTGGTGACCTCGTTGTTGACAGTTAATTATAGAGCTATACATATTCGCTAGTGGTTAATCAACGATTGATGTGTGTAGTCAATTTATTTGTGTTTTAGATCACTCACAGTCCGCTGTAATTCACTGCTATCGTCTTCAGCTGCATCAGTCATATGTTCAAACTTAAGACACAGAGTGTGATTCACCGAAGAAGTGGGTACACTCCACTAGTTTTTCAACTGCCCAACTGGTGTCAATAGGATTTCCGTTGGAAACTTCTCACCACTACTCATATTGTTCAGTAATCTACTTCTGTAGTTCATGACACTTGTGTGTCAGAGAGAGCACACTTTGTGATTTTGGTTGATTGGTTTCTTACGGAAAGTTTGTTGATTGGCACCACAGTTGGGCAGATGAAAAATTACTCAGATGTGAGAAATATCATCATGGACTGTACAATTTGTAGATAATTTGAAATTTGACCACCCTATTGAAGGTATGCCAGTTCTTGCTAGTCAGCTAACCAGATTCAGTTAGTCTGAACAATTTAGCTTTGTAAGCTGAATTTGTCAAGGTACACTACTGAGATGAGCTCGACCTAAAACAAGCGAAATGGCCATTCCATGTTTATCTCACTATGATCTGGTCGGCGAAATCTAGGGGATTAGGATGGGCGGTTTTTATCAGCTCATGTTCTTTTAGTAGTTTATTTTGATAGGGTTGCGAATTGTCATTGACTAAGTTGACTTGATCATGTATTGCGCATACTGAACCCACCGCCTACCTCGATGCACCATGTTAATCGAAGTAGGGTTAGATAGTACGGATAGATAGTGGCAGACAGTGGAATCCAGGATTATCCATCATTACTATGAAGCTGAAACAATAGACAGTATCCAAGTATCCGCACAGAAGCCTATATGCCAATAGAGATCCACTCAACAATAAGAAATTACTATTAAAAACATTAAAAAAGAGTAAGGTTATGTTGGAAGAAAGCTGCGAAGGATTATCAATCTATGAAGTTTTTGATTGTTGATCTGGATTGTGTAGAGAAATGTAAGTTGTTTGGGTTATATCCTTGAGGGGTTGAGAATCGATATTTGGACACTTAATGATATAGCTTGAAATCGGTTACAATGACACAAATGTACTCACTATTTATTCATTTACTTCTCATAAACTTTATTGTGAGGTGTGATGACTGAAACAGTTATGCAGTTTTGTCAGGTTTCATGTCGATATTTCAGTTGGTCTTTGTGAGCTACTGTGAAGTATAATAACTTGAAGTGATGCACTTCTGTATAAGATTTTATATTTCTTCTGTCTGTCTAACTATGTTTACTCATGTTAGCGGTTATACTTCAGCATTGCAAATCAATTAGGTGAACATGTGAATAACTATTTAGGAAAGTCAGTGTTTGTGCGCGTTTTCCTTGCTGTCTGTGTAGGTAGCCTGTGTGTTTGTATCATGAAGCAATGAGTGAATAAAATGTTGACCAGTTTCCAAGTTCTATTGTTGCTTTTCATCTTACCTTCTTTGCAATTTGTAGTAAATATTCAAGTTTGATCATTATAATCCACTTAAAGGTTGGACTTTTTGAATTGATTAAATGAAAATAAAAAGGTGGTTCTATCTTAATTTATCTTTTAAGTTGGCTAATTATTTTGTTTTGCAAGTGATCTGTGTTAAATAAATTGCCAGACACTAATTTCATCTCCTCTTCGTTTGACTCCTTATCCTAGACTTACTCGTTAATCCTGTGGAATTCTTAATATATCCTCTTAAGTTTCCAAGTAATTTGTGTTACTCTTTAAGTTTCTGAATCTGTTCCTTTTATATTTTATGTGAATTTGTTGTACAATAGCTTCAATACTTGTCTAACTTCTAGAGCAATATGAATTCAAACTCATTTCGTCTATTTTTCAATCCTACTGATGAAAATTTATCATATTCTCGTATATTTTTAGGATCAACTTATAGTCCAATGAATGAACCGCTATGTGTTTGCTTTTATTTACAACTTTAGTTATTAAGTGTAAAAATTGAATGGTTTGTTGAGTATTGTACTCACCAGGAGACTGGAGTGTTCTAGGTACTATCAAAAAGAACTTCAATAGGGGAGGAAGTTAAAAAATTTCTGGAAGTAAACGAATCGACCAGTTGATTTAGAAAAATAACTGGTATCTAGTTGTAATAAGAATATCATTCAAAGTTGTGTAGGTTCGCCCACTATTCAGAAAACGTAAATATACGTTTTATCGTAGAAGAATCTTTAAAAACATTGATTCTGTCCTCACACGGATATCGTAACGTGAAAACGGATAACAGACAGATGTGAGAGTTTAGTGTTGATTGTTATTTAAAAGGAAAAAAAATCTTTGTCGATTACTTCATTGTCCGCATTAATATGCGTAGATTTCAATAGTTATTGTCGAAAGACTAGCTGTCCAAACATTGAACTATTGGCTGTGCTCAATAGTATAGGTAGATGACTATCAACTATTGGGTGACCAGTTTTGAGTCCCGCTCTACCTGTCAAGGTTTGGGAAGCCAGTTTTATATAGCTAGCCCTCACACAATAGGTGTGACCCATTGTCTACTGCAGGAGTGTGCACAAGGCTGCTGAGTTTAGCTCAAAGAATGCAGATTTTCAAACTGTTGTAAACCTCCATAGAGATATGTGTATGATTTACTGTCATGGATGTAGATGAATGTGTGTGGGCATTGTTTTCTCTTTATCTTGGAACCAACAGGTAGTATAATATTTGGATTAGGTGGTTACTGATATTCATAGAAAGAAGTAAACAATAACTTGAATACTTAAATTCGCTTTGGGTTTTCGTAAATGATTGTTTCAGTTTCAAGGAATAATATCACCAATGCATACCGGTACATGTACCTTTCTGGAGTTAAACACAGTATAAACCAGTTAATGATCTATCTGGCTGTTTTATGTTAGATGGAGAAGCTTTCAGGTAGAAGAAGTGCAGGTTACGTGCTCGTGGTCTATGAGATAACCGAGATCGATTGTTACAGTATTTCTTCAGTGATGGAGTTCATAATAATTGATCGCAGTATTAGGATACATCTACAAACGTTGATCATCTTGTCTCCTTTATCCTTTACCGCTCCTGACATAAGCATTCTCCGTGTTTTATTTTTCCTTATCTCTTCTTCTTATGCTAAGTAGAGTTTATGGCAATACACACAGATTCATATGTATGTGCTTATTTCTGTTTGGCAAGCCAATTGGTGCTATCTAAAACACCCTGTGTAAGAAGAACTATATTTCAAAGAGGAAAACACTACAGTAATGAATGACTAATACTAATCCAACTCCATTTGTTTGGTTTCCTTTGAACTGAATAATTTTTCTTTAGGATTGCTAGAAATAGATACTCAAGGTCTAAGCATCTGTCAGGTGCATACTACTCAACAGTAATCTAGATTTTTCTTGAGATCGAAATGTCAACCATTAAAAACATTTCTTTCTTGATGCAAACTGAAAGCCGGCAACGGAGGTATGGAAAGTAGGAGTTAGTGAATCCATAAATCCCGGTAGAAGTTATCACCTGAATACTCTACATACTTGATTATGTATACCATGATGTAGTACAAGGAGAAATACACATATCTACTTGGACCTCTTAGCTCAGTTGGTATAGTCTCGGGCTGGAAACCCAGTGGTTCCTGGTTCGAATACTACCGCGGTCCAAATTTTCATTTCACCTTCAATCATCACCAATTATATATACCAGTCTGCCAAACCACAGCTATCTCAAATAGTCAAAAGGATAATCAATGATCCCCTGCCTCTCTGATTTAGTTAGATTTAGATTGGGATGAGAAGTGGTGACTGGGTAGTCGGTGCGAATACGATCAAGCGATAATGATGCGTCATGAATTCACATGGTAGTCGTACCAAACCACTGTCGATTGAAGTGAACTAAAGATATGTTCAGTAGTTGGGTGTCGTAGGTCAGTTGGTATAATATGGAGTCGGAAACGCGATGGTTGCTGGTTGGAATACGGCTTCGGTCAAAATTTTTATTTCACCTTCAATCATCACCCAGTATCAATATCTATTTAAAACGACGACAACATAGAAGACTCAACAATATATTAACATTTTGAACAGTATTGAGTAAATGTATTGAAGAGGTGTGAAAATTGATTGAAAAATTGCATGGACTAGAGTTCATTCAGCTAAACACACAACCAACTAAGGGATGAACACTAGTAATAAATCAATATATTCAATGGAATGGAACACGTTAGCAACGAATACAGAAATCAGAAGAGATCAAAGTTGATTAACTAGTAACTATGATACTTGACTGGAGAAAAGTAATAAAACTAACTAGTTATTGAATCCATATTGCATTAAAAAAGGTTATGTTTGAATCTTATTGCTTAGTTATTTCATCGAATAGACGGTGTTGTGATAGGAAGTCTTATAGGCCAAAATTCACCCCTTTAGAGTCTGGTTACTTGAGGCAATACGTAACAACAGACGATATTTTTATTGTGTATGTGAGTAAACTGGAGGCGGATATCCATTTTAGATTGTTATGTCAAGACAATTTGCACTATCTCTACCAAGCAAAGTTTTAACTCAATTCCTTTTGTGTGGAATCGAAATAAAACCTTTGAAGTGTTACTACTGTCCGGTCCAGGATGGTTTTCTCTATATATACGTTTCTATAAATTCATCTATCCTTTTCACTGGTGAATCTAACTGCATCATTTTCTTCGTATTCTGATGTAAGGTTGAGATTCAGATAGGATGAGTTGATCTTCTTCAACGTTGTTGCCACCTCCAGTTTACTCTTACATAAAACAAAAATGTTTGTATCTCTTCCGGTATAAAACTACGGGTATACATAATCAACTATGTAAAGTATTCTCGTGAAAAGTTCTACCGAAATTTATGCATTCACTAAGTCTCGTTTTCTATACCTTTGTCACCTGTTTTAAAGGGTCCACCGGTGTACTGTCGTCAACCGTGTACTGAACGTTGTTGTTAAAATTGATAGGATCCTAACTATAAGATCAGTTGAACATTTCGGTAAAGTTCTTCACCGAATTCTATTATATTCGAACTAAGTTAATGATTATCCTTTTTTTCTGAAAAATCTGTTCGTCACAAGACTCTAATAATCAGTTAAACATATAAAAATCCTACATAGTGGCTCAAAAGTTTGATTTTTTGTACTTATCTATACCGTAGACAAAATGGAAAAACAAAATGAAACGTTAGAGCGATGGGATGGGATAAGCAAACAGAACACGACTAGACTAATAGGAAATCCCTACAAACTTTCAACCATTCCGGCTTCGAGGTCTGAGTTTCCATAGATGATTCATATCAAAGGTTAAGTAACTTCAGGGTCATCTTAAGACTTTTTCAACTTATTAGCTCCTCCCCTTATCGTAGTCAACCATTGTGGTAAGCAATAACGTAGTATGCGTACCATATGATTCACCCATCTTGATCGATACAAGTTCACACACGTATCATCGCTAACTGGATGTTTGGGCATTGTTTTGGAGAAATCGATAATGCTTATCAGTGTGCCGTGGTATTCGGTTTTACATCTTAAACCCTTTATCTTGACAGGAAATTCTTCATTCCTTGAATATAGGGACAAAGGGAATTAGCATTCATTTTTTGAAAATGTATCAGCATATTTGAATGTCTCCTATCACTCATTTTACATAGCATATGATGAATATTATGAAAATGTTACTCATATAATAAAATATCCAAGCCGTTGAAAATGATCAAATCCATTGAAGTGGGTGCTACTGATAAGAATGGATGTAAGTAGTATATATTGAGAGGTAGGGAGGTAGGTAGGCAATTACCAGCGATGGGTAAATATTCTGCCCAGAACAATGCAAGATACAATGTGGGCGTACTAATAGTAAATCGAGGTAAGAAAAGAAGAGGAAATGAATCAAATTGTCCGAATGACAATTTTAATGAAAAGTGTACAATATTTCATCAGTACTGTGCAAAATGTCTGTCCTGCGTCTCAATCGTTGTCGTTCCTTACACTATAACTGTCTAAGTCGTTGATTTTTACTGTTTCTTCTTTGTGCTAGCAGAATTCTTGTTGATCGACGTTATAGGCTACAGTATGCAACAACTGGCCATATTAATTCGAAATCTCATGCCACTCTGCTCAATTCGTTCTCATCAATCGACTGGCATTTTGTATTCGTCTTGACAATAAATAGGATGTCAAGTCATGGACAGGAACTTGTAATCACATCAAAACTAATTTCCTTTGGTAGTAAAATGGGGAAAACGTTATAAGCAAAGTTCACCTTGAATTGACATGAGTTTACTATGCATGCTTTCTTTACAGATATTCATTTATGAACACTAAAATATTCCATTTTGAGCCTTTTTTCATATTGTACTATGTTGTATTTCTGCATTTATAGGTTGTCTATGATCGGCAGTCGAATGAGAGGTCACAAAAGTCTACATCCTTAAACCAAACGACTAAGTGTTCTGTACAGAATGAGGGTAAGTCCTTTTAGACACAATATTATTTAATATTTGATTCATCCCTTATGTACTCTTGTTTTGTGCATCTTTTCTTAGCATAGTGTTAGATTGCCTAGATAAATTTAACTGAGTTGTCTTTGAAATATTGGCCTATTTCAAGGCAACTTTCATCATGAATATAAATGCACTAAAACGTCACCGGAACCCAGCGAGCATTGGGAACCCTTACTCTCATAGGGATTCGATTTCACAAACATCAAGTCTCAATGAACAGCATTTCCCAACCTCTATCACTTCCTAACATAATGCAACAATTATCATCCATCGTTGGATATTTGGAATTAAAAATCTGGAAGTTATTGTCGTGTTCATCAAAACTGAATGCAGAGGAGTATACTGTACGCATACTCTAACTACCGTTGCTTTCAGGCTTAATGTAGATTAATGACTAGAATAGGAGTGTTGTAGTATAAAAGATGCCTCAGGTTGAATGGATAGGAAAACAGCTAGTTGTGTGGTAAACTGCATGTAAGATAGTGCATTATTAACGATTACACATACTATGCTATGACCGATAGTTTGACCTAACTGTTTAAGTGCGATACAAAACTAACGTGCAAACAAATAGACTCTAACGCTAATCATAATGTCAACCACCACAACAACAATACCACTGACATCCGAAGACAACAAAAGAAGACGAACTGTTGACAGAGAGCTTTTACTGTCTCAACAACAGTCAAAACAGTTGAGAGTGACGTTCTACGTATACATTTCTGAACGACCTTGACAACACTAAATTCACTAGTAGGTTAGAAGAGTTAACGACCAATCAGAGTCCAGCTTTCAAAAGCACTGGGAAGACAAAAGCCTTCAACGGTGCACAAACAGTAATGATAAAGTTAAGGTTACAGGCAAATAACCCACAGAAGTTGGGTAATTCAGGGGTATATAGCATACTAGGTACAACAGCTCTAGGGTAGTGTTATCGGTTCGATGCGCTTATAGTATATGTAGATATTCCGAAACGAATATAATACGCGCGCTTAGCTGACAGCTAACTTGGTACGCAAGAGACACTGACTGCAACCCCGGAACGAATAGAGAGAAGACCGAAGCTGGCAGATGGGAGAGTGTATTACTCCGAGGATATAATATAATAACAATGAATCAACTCAAAACACGTGAATAAGTATACACATGAAAACTGACCTTGTCCGCGATTGGAGAAATTCGCACAGTAAGAGTAAAAGTTAACCAATCAGCGAATTACATTACAATGGAGACAGAAACACTATTAGTCATACCGTAAAATAATGTGACAATGACATGTTAAAATGTTCAGACCAATAACAATGTTTTATACAAGACTAGGGCATCACAGGAGGTAGTAAATAGTCAAGGCATATACTAAGAAAATACAAACAAAGCTATCACAGTTGTTGACCACATTTGATGTTAAGTATTTAAAAGTAATTGTTTGGTGAATATCACTGTTATTCCTAAAACACTTATCTTTTCTGCTGAATGTTTAAGGTTATCGTTTTCAGCTATAAATGATGATATAGTTTTCGATAACTGTTACTCGTTCTTTGAATTTAGAAAAAAAACTAATTAGTATGAATTGTTACAAAAACTTATCTTTGATATAAGAAGTTTTATGTTACTCTCTTATAGAACTGTATGACTTTTTTCTTTCAGGAATAATTTTAATAAAAGATCTTATATGTACCTTTATGAGAAATTCTAAGTTCGTGTAAGACTATGTTTTATTGAATAGTCATGTTAACGTTAGCTAGAAATTGACTGAGGTTAATATAAGTCTAAAGCTTCGGCACTATGGTAGAATGTAATTTCATATTAGATTTGTTTGTTTAATATATATCACACAGTGATACGGTATTATTTACTTGGTGATTACGTCTTGAACATAAATTACTCCTCATAATGTTGCACAAACTCGAAGATCTACAGGCGAAAACTAACAAGTTGACAGAAGAGGCAGGGCAGCGAGGACGGGACTTCAAGTGAACGTAGAGAAGACAGAGGTGATGAAGATACCCAACCAACAACAGCATCAACAACAAGCACCAATCACCATCAACGGGAGAAATGTAAGGGAAGTTGTCTCTTTCACCTATCTGGGCTAGGCAGCCATGTTTCAACCACAGGCGGTGGCACAGACGAGGATGTCAAAACCAGGATCGGAAAGACAGCAAGACAGGCTTTCATCAGTCTGAAATCAGTGTGGAGATCGACCGCACTCAGCATGTGGAACAAGATCCGGATTTTCAACACCAACGTCAGTCAAGTTAGTGCTGCTATATAGTTCGGAAACTTGGCGTGTCATGAAAAGCATTTCCAACAAACTACAAACATTCATCAATAGCTGCTGCCTACGCTCACTCAATACTGACACTGGAGGAGATCATGTGAGGAAGAAATAAAAGCTTGTGGCCCTGTTGGCGCCAGGTTGAGAAGACTGGAGAGAGGAGAGTGCAATGGAGGTGTGCTACTGGAGCCCTATGCTCCACTAGAAACCCAAGGGAATAATAATGATAATATTATTATAGTGACACAACTTTTGACATCTGATTGATATAGTCGTGTCGCCTCATATTCTTTTTTATTGGTAGTGAAATCTTCCATATCTTTGGTATAGATATTGCATCATCCCTATTACGTATCGGGTGTTGGTTCGATGAGGAAACCTTCAGAAACCAATCGCTCTCTCCATCTAACTGTACTGAACTTGAGTACAGTGGCTTTATCCCATCCTATTGTATGGTTGTGTTAACGCATGTATTACACTAGCCGAGTTTTTTTTTCTAGATTAATAATCTTATTCGGGTCTGTCATTCTATATTCAGCTAAATTTCTATGTTAGGCTATTCTAACTGACTCCGATTGGCTAGTTTGACCTATGTGCTTGACCTTAGAGTCACTTCATGGAATTTGAAAAATTAGATTAGTCTGTGTAATTTGACCTATAGGATCCTCAAACCAGCTAACAAAGCTTATCTCTGAGTAAGTTTGTAGGTTTAAATGCCACCCTAATTCCAGCTCTGTTGAGGATCCTACGTAAAGTTTCTGATGTACCTTCCTTATAGGGTAACACAATGGAGGCTATGAAGTTTCTACTTCTGTCGTCGTTATTATTCGTATTATTGTTATCACTTTGTTTGTGTTCGTGCGAATTATCACTTCTTTTATCTGTTTCACTGCTTTTATTCAAGCCCTTGCAATGACTAGTGCGATTTTTAGCGCTATCATTTAGATATTTGACTGAATTCACCCTATCTGACATTGATTGAAGTAGATGACTTGAAGTCTAGATACCTGTTAGAATGTGTTGGTCTCCTGTAGACGGTAGTATCGAAACCACCGTCTATCCTTCTTTTTACTCTGGAATCCAACAGAGGTAATTCTTCTTGTTTATTTTCCACCTCATAAATGAATCGGATTGCACCTACTACTGAGTTTATTTTTATGAGGAAATTGTTGATATATTCTGATTTCAACTCGGTAAATGTGTTATCCACATATCGCCATCATTTCTTGGTTACAAGATTAAAGCCATGTTTTCCTCACTATCTATAAATATATCTGCCACGATGTAGAATATTGATGATCTCATTGCTACTTCTTCTGTTTTCCTATATATTTTGTCCTAAAAATTGAAGAGTTTAGGTTAGGCACAACTGTACATTCAGTATGATTTCACTAACCGATATCTTCATTGTTTTACTTCATTTTGATAGAGGATTTGACATCAAGACCCATGGGGAACTTGTGTTGTCTGTTTACTTGCAAAATTGTTTAATTATTCACTCTCCTGTTATCATTCAGAAAATTTACACTGGAAATTTTGAGGAGTGACTGATTCCCTGCAAGGCAAGTAAATTAAATCCTCTAACGAGAACTAATGTCTAGTCGTTGGTGCTGCTTGTTTTCTACCTACTAGAAAATACACTGGTTGACAGTATAAGTTAGAGCATCATGCGCCGAAGTTCACGTTTGATGTTTGGTGTAGGTCGGTAGTTTCTACCGATACCACACATAGAATTCAGTCATCACAGAAATGCCGAAAATGCTCGGCATTTGTTTTGATCTCTCAAGTTCTACTGCTTTTTTGTAAATAATTTTAGATTACTCATGTTTGTCAGTAGTATATTTCACGTTGCAGAAGTTTTTCAACCTTTACTTATTTTTCCCATAACAGCATCAGCACGAACTACAGCAAATGTGATTAAGAACTCAGAGCAAGATTTTTGTCGATCACCATCATCTCTTTTATCAGAACCAATTAGCCAGCAGTCTTTGGTGCCTGAAAATGTAGATCGTTTGAGAAAGAAATATCAAAATCTTCTGTTAGTCCTACTTGAAAAAAGGTATGAAAAAACTGAGTTAATTTAGTATTTTCTTGTTAAATTAGTTCTTAGTTGTAAATTTTTGTATTCCAGTTGAAATGCTAGTTTTATTGTGGTAAGCATACATTTGACAAGATGAGGGTTAGTCAGCAGTTGTATCACCCAATGTAAACGTTACAGCACAGTTTTAAATTTAAGAAAACTGTTGATGTTAACGTGTATTTGGAAAAAAAGGTATTCAACGAACATACTGTTTTTCCGTTTTAACTTGATTCATTGTTGAAGGCTAACAGATTCATTTGATGGAATCATTTATTCCTTGTTATGGTCGTATGATAGTGAGATATTGTGTATCTAAACTGACCTGGTGTTTAGTGTCGGTTCTTCAATCATGCAAGTTCGGAACGGTTGGTTGATCACCGATGTCATATGTTTGCGACGGTGATGTCATGATTTAACAGTGTATTGTTTCACGGATGTGGTTGTTGGTTTCTATCAATTGGTTAATGAAATCCAGTGTTTTTTTCTTGTATGTATGTTAGCTTGAGCAATTTCAAGGGGATTCCATTTCACAGCCTAGTCTCACTTTGCGCACGTGAATTATCTTGTTTGCACAATTATTAACAATCACTTCTCTCTGCACTGGGTTATGATTGAAGTGAAAGAAAAATGTGGTCAGCAGTCAGGCCTCGTAGCTCAGTTGGTAGAGCCTCGGGTTGAAAACTCAGTGGTTCCTGGTTCGAATACTACCGCGGTCCAAATTTTCATTTCACCTTCAATCATCACCAATTATATATAGCAGTCTGCCAAACCACAGCTATCTCAAATAGTCAAAAGGATAATCAATGATCCCCTGCCTCTCTGATTTAGTTAGATTTAGATTGGGATGAGAAGTGGTGACTGGGTAGTCGGTGCGAATACGATCAAGCGATAATGATGCGTCATGAATTCACATGGTAGTCGTACCAAACCACTGTCGATTGAAGTGAACTAAATATGTGTTCAGTAGTTGGGTGTCGTAGGTCAGTTGGTATAATATGGAGTCGGAAACGCGATGGTTGCTGGTTGGAATACGGCTTCGGTCAAAATTTGTATTTCACCTTCATCACCAAGTATAAACTACGGCTCAGATAGTCGAATGATAGTCACTTCTCTAGCAGTCTCTTCCTCTTCTCAAACGTCTATCGTGATGGTGCCACATTTCACAATCGTAATCGTCACACTGAAACTTCCGTTATTCTTATTTTTACAGAGCAAATAAAATCAGTCGAAATCTCTTGGTAAGTAGACTCATTGCATGAACGTTTCAGAATTTCCCTACATCCTGGTATTATTTCTTCAGATCACATTGTGCACTATCCTTTGTGTTCTGATTGGAAATTAGTGTTAGTGTTTAAGTGGGTTGTACAACGATCTCGTTGGTTTCAAACAGCTGACTTGACTACTCTTATTGTTCAGTTGTCATTATCTACTGTGTTAAAGCCATTACTTTAACTATCTACATATAGCGATTATTCAGCTTTTTTCGAACTACTTTTCCTCTCTGTATTTCTTTCGCTTGCAGAACACAAGCATCACGGCATATCTTCACAGCTAATCGATCCCGATTGAAAATGTTAGCTGAAGAGTTGGAAACTGTAATTTCTACCAGAAATAACTTGATCAATTCACCCGCACCAACAGATGCTAATTCATCGTTTGAACAAGATCTTCCAACTTACAAATGTCAACTGCGTTTATTTCTTAGTTGCTTAGATGCTGTTGGTCAAGACAAATCTCAACACTGTCCAGTTCCATCCAGTACTACTGATCCATCCATCATACTGAGAGATCAGTTTTTTGATTCACTTATCAGTGGAGTATTAAAACCTAGTGATCTGGCACATTGTCAAAATATTAAAACTTTAGAATCTATTGTAAGACGAGCTCGCTTAGCAGATAGCGTTCAAAATAAGATATCGTTGGGAACGTCAGTTGTTTCGAGTAATGTAAGTTTGTGTTTTCGGTACCTGAAAGAGATTTGTATTACCGCAGAACCTATCGGAAATCTGCTTGAGGCCTGTCACACGCAGCCTTTTGTGTACGGTTGTTTTGAACTTTTGTTGTTTTGGGGCCGGATGATGGAAAAGAAACGATAAATCAACCAACACCGCCAGCCTGGAAGGTTGTAGTGTATGGTGGAGTGTGTTATTTTTGGGGCATGGTACTGCTGGTTATCCGAGAGGAACACCTTACTGCTGTCACGCTCCATCTAGCTAGCAGCAGTACGACGTCGCCCTTAGACCCCCATCATAGTGTAGTAATTTACGCCACAACGGTGACTGCTTTTCGTCTAACCACTATCCAACAGACCTTTTTGGTACGGTAGGACTTCGAGAGAACAAGTGTTCCACCAGCATAGCTCGTTAGATCATTGTGATATGCAAGCCCGACCACCATGCCACCATGTCTTTTCGAACTCTGTATTTCTTTTGACTGAATTTTTTCTTCATCTTCCACTTCACTGCCTTTTTACTTGATGTAGTGATATGAGCTGTGGTAGCTCGGACCGTTACGCAGCAATGCCTGGTCCTATGCTGACTTGGATGGATGGATGATTATGTGTTTTCGAAATTATGATGCCTCTTTGTATTGTATTGGTTGTAGATAACGATAGCAGGATCATATATGACTGTTAGATGATCACTTTAATAGTCTGTAGGCATTCATGAAGAAACAGTAAAAACGGATGATAAAATCATAGACATTTCTCTTACTTTTCGTGACTTGAATGTTAAATATCTCATCTTTCTGAACCTGATGGTTCATCGTCATTTGTTGCTGTTCTTTTGATTCAACTTAACCAATGGTGTTGCTTTTTTCTTTGCTATATTACGAAATACAGTGAGTGCTGAGATATTTATTCATTCATTCATTGACTGAAAACATTTCAAAGTCATTAAAGATCCAGTCACTCGAGTGTAAAATTGACCTAATTTCTAATCATTCTGCTGCATTCCCATAGTCAATTTACTTTTGATAGACTGTTTTTGAAGTGTGAAAATTTAAAATCAATTTAATTTACATTCAATGAAGTTTCTATTCACTGGCTATACAAAATTTCACTAGGATCATTCATGTAATGGTATATGCATTAAACTTTCAATGAGTTTTATATATTTCTCTATCCGTTTGAATTGTCAAAGCAAAATTGACTATCTTGATGATTCACAGTTGATGTTGAAATGGCTACCACTAGTTGGTGTACATTTTGGAAGTTCTATCATAGTTTCACTTACTGACTAAAATCTTCAGACGATAAAATGAGATCTTAATAGGTTCAAAGGTGTCAGCTAGAGTGCATTACGTTTTATGCCTATCATCTCCGATAGCGTACTCCTGAGGGGTCCTATATCAGGACGAAACAGCTGTCCAGTGCTCCCAGGTTTTAAATGGTTCCCCAACTGATGTCGGTCTGTGATGAATACTATCTCCAGATTAAAATCCTCATTCATCTCAAAAATACATAGTTTATTCATAAAATTTGCAGGATTTCTGATTTTCGTATTTAAGAACTTATAGTTATAATCTGTGTTATGTACATAATATTGAGTTACAAGTGGTTAGATCTTATACCCTGGGAGAATTGGATGCACAGAAACCTCAGGAATATTATAGACTGAATAATATAACTGAAATGATAACAGCCTTCAACTTGGGCTATTCTGTAGGGAAAGCAACCGGTTTTACAGTTCAGAATGTAAATCATGAATTGACCGGAGAGAGGGAAATTTGAATCTTAAATAGACATCATCGGTCACATTATTTTCTTTATTTTCAAAAGAAATTTCACCCAAGATTTACTGTCTGGTGGCACTGACTTTTCACTCATTTCTTCACTATTCCTGGCTGTGAAGTCAATTATTGTGGATTACTTCATTTTCTATGTATGAAACCAGTTATTTCATTTTTATGAGTTATCGTGCATACATGACTTAGACACCAAAAAAAGAATAACGAACAATCGGGAGGCGTTCGAAGGCATTTGCAATAGTTGAAGATCATTGGGGGGGGGGAGGGAAGCATCCGAACATCAAGACATCTGTCAACTGAATTGCTTAATTATTGTGGTCTTAGACATCATAAATGACAACATTTGTGATTTTTGCAGTCACTTGTTTCGAAACCACTAACGTCTTTTACAATTTTACCATTTTCAACAAAATTGTAGGCATCACGGCTAACAACCTTCAACCTTTGCCAATGTATCTGAATCCCCGCCTATTTTGCATTTATGTGCCAAATTAATCATGTACTAAGTCAGTGTTACAGATGAATTACAAAAACTCTATTATTTCAGGAATTACTGCTGGGGTAGAATTACAACAGTAAACGTGAATAATGACTAAAGCATTCAGCAAAAAGTGTAGTTAATAATTGAGCTCACTCCTCTGGTAAACAACTTAATCATATAACTGAAGTATACTCATCCACAAAAATAAATACAAAAGAGAGAAATGAAGCTCAAGTAATAATGACTTACAAAATAAATGTCAACTGCATAGATGCTTTGATAGAGCTTGAAACAAAGAAAATAGATGGGTGTAGCAAATAATAGTGAACGTGTGACTAATTGGTTTAAGTACTTGATTTAAAACTGGATTGGTCACGAGTTTGAACCGAGCATCACCTATCGAAGTCTGGGAAACCAGGTTGTATCATTGACCGTCACACAATAGGTGTAGTTCTTTGCTTAGTGCACAGATGTGCTCAAGGTGGTTGATTGGATTTTGTAGCAAATAATATGTTGTAGTGGTAAAATAAATAAAGTCTGAAAATTGTATATGCATCAGTCTACTATGTTTTAACATATATCTACATAATAAAAGAGTCTTTAAATTTGTTTCTGTAATTTTTTTGTTTTATAATTAGGTAAATACAAACCAACCTGACTTGTGTGCCACGTCGACACAAACTTCTACAACTATTACGCCTTCAAATAATCCCCTAACCTCTGTTCCTGCATTATCTCAGCCAACTGAAGTAGATAAACATACAAACGAAGCGTTGGATACTACAAGTGAACATGGAAAACACTTATATGATATGCATTGTAAACGGTGTACAGGACAGACAAAACAACCAATGAAATTACCATCGTCAAAGAAGTCAGTTCCATCCCCTTCACCACCGCCTTCTTCTGGTGCAAGTTTATCATTGTTATCAGTTAAAACAGAATCAGTTTCCAATACTTTCTCAAGTGAAAAGGTAATGGACACTACTATTTTTGCTTATTATCTTTTACCTAGTCCTCACTAGTGACTAGCTTTGAGAGGTGATTGCTGAAGTTCCAATGAGAAGTCGTAAGCTGACAGAAGTTGGAAATATGAACCACTGAATTCCGACCTAGTGGGTCAATAGTGCTGGCCACGGAACTTGAAGGTCCTGGGTTTGACCCCTTGACAGGATCATGGTTGCGCACTACTAAGGATTCCTATACTAAGACGAAACAGCTCCCCAGTGCTCTCAGGTTTTCAACGTTCCTCCAAATGATGTCAATTCATGATGAATACCAACTTAAGACCAATAACTCCCCATAAACCCCTAAATTGATTTCTAAAAATTTGATATGTTGTAATGTGGCTGTTTTTGTTGTCAGAAACTATGCTGTCATAATACTATCGTCAAATAAGCCGAGTTCTACTTTGTACTATCTACCGAAGATTAACAATTACTAAAACTGAAGTTATCGTGTATTTATATAGTCAGATTGTCACCTTGTTATTATGTGACCAATCAAAAAAATGGAATAGAAACTATTACGTAGGTATATGTGATGTATATCTTATGAGCTTATAGCCTATATGCAATTGAGGAGGTGATGAAATACAGTGAATTCATTGTATTCTGCTAAACTTGTTGCTCTAGCTTTGCTAAACTATTTTGAAAGGAACCAGTTGTATGAAATTAAATGATACAGCTTATAATTCAGTAGGTTTTGTGGGAGGTAATCGGATTTTGCATCACACGTAAAAATTGTAACTTTTGACATAAGTCTCACAATCGTTTTTATGTAAGCTATGGACTATTTGTTTGATTTGTGTGGGAAACTGGAGGATGTCAAGGATCTGTTGTTATAATATTTATAAGTAGTGTTGCTGGAAATCTATCTCAGAAGTACAGATACACTCTATATTTGGACGATGATCATAGATGCCTTTATAGCACTGATCACATGTGGTGGGATAACCGTTGGTTACTAGGCAAAGAAGGTAAGTTACTCAAGGAAATTGTGAACCTTTAGTGGAGCAGATGGCTTGGATAGGTGTTGCGCATGCCGAGTGTCACATGTTAGGCGTACTCAAACCAAAATGTATCAGTAGTCTTTCACTACTTGTCTGAACCGTTCAGGAGTCGTCGAAATGATTGGGATCACTGGTTGAAAATTATTGGTGGGTTCTCGAAATTGTCCATATTGGCTCTAGTGTATGCACTGTGTATCATGTTCACTAACCTTCATCAGTTTACTCTCTCCGCGCTTGTATACCTTCGCCTACTTTTAAGTCATTGGTTTACTATTCACCTCTTCGTTGCATGTTACTGTGAAATGTGGCAACTTTGACTGATGTACTTCTGTTCCAGGGTCTGCTTTGATCTGTCTGTCTCACTATCTGATTTTATGTCTTTTTGTATTGTTCGTTTTTTTGTACTAACTGTCGAATAGCGTGATGATGATGTAGACTACTGCACTTTTCATGTTTCCATACCATTGATCTATATGCCTTCATATGATGTTTTAATTGGCTTTTTTTTCATATCATTGAAACGTAGATTTCACCTGATCCGAATTCAACTGAATTATCTCTTTCGAAATCATCAATTTCGCCTGCTGCTATTCTCGCGGAAAAAACAGTTCCGGTGTCGGTGAAACTATCACCTAAAAGTGCCGATGAATGCTCTGTCTTCAATAAGCCCAATTATTTAGAGGACAGAAAAAATATGGTCAAATGTTTGGATCCAAGAAAAGAGTCGATTTCATTACAAAACTCCGTGAATCATCATATGTCTAAAATGCAGTATGTTAGTTTGCCTTAAATCTGGAAAAATTGAAGCTATTCATTCTGTTTACTTATCTATAAATAAGTAGTTAGTAGTGTTATTGCTTGATTATTATCCCGGATTCCACTGCTAGCCATTGAGTGAACTGACTAAGGAGAATTTACTAAATCGAAAAGTTTTTATAAAGTTGTTCAAAGTCTTCTGCCAATTAATTCCAATTTCCATGACTCGTCGTCTGTTAATAGAACATCCCGAAAAACGTAACAACAACTTACTGGATGTAGGATTCGTACTATGAGATCAATCAGTCAATCCTTAGCAGTTGTTGTTCTTAGGTATGCTGGTCATACACGTCGATACGTTTTTTGATTAAATTGGATCAGATCAGAGATCACTCCAAAGAAATATCTGCTCATAACATTAGTTGGTCACGTCAATCGAACTGACGGTTTTGTATAGCATCATAAAATGGTAGAAGATACTAGACTTGTTTTTATGAATAGTCGACTCCACTTCAAACGTGATATATGTTCTTGTAGGAAGAGATAATCGGAACTACCTAGAGCAGCGGGTGGATGATACGATTCTGTTGGGGAAAAATGTTTACGAATGCAGTTGTCTGAGTACATTTCACATCTATGATGCATAGAATGCTTTTCAAGAGTAGTGAACAGCCATTCTTAAATTGACCGCAAAAAGCCAAGTGATTGACCCTTTTAATATCTTCACACATTGAATAGTAGCTACAGTCCTATTGGAGTTACTATCAACGTAACCTCATCTCAGTGTGAAACGTAGTCGACGTTTCTGATGATTATGCTGTACTATTGTTAGATTTCGACATATAAACATGCATATTCATTTGTTAGCATTTTACTAAATGAAAAATACACTGTAAATTAACTCAATTATTTATGTTTTCTTCCCTAGATTGAATCAAAAAAGATCACATCCATCGTTTGAAGAATACTGTCCAGTGTCTATATTCACACATGATAAATCTATTCCACCGAAGTCACTCAGTAGTTGCTATCATCCTCCACCACCGATTAACTCATTTGTTTCAACAGGCCTTTTAGATTTACCTTTACCACCTGCTCAACATAATTCATCATTTACTTCACAGTCAGATGATAATGATAGTGTTAGTCCACCGTATATAGTTAAGGAGAAAATCAATTCGAAATGTTGCCTATGGACTGGAATGTTATCCTTATCTACACAATATTCTGGTCGTGAACATATGTACAGCTTGGAGATTAATGTCCATCCCTTTGGTTATATTCATGCAAAGGTATCAAATGACTCTCGGAAGGTTTTCATTGAAAACACTATATGGGAATCTTTATTATCGAGTAAACAAACTTCACTTGTTATCAGTCGAGGTGTAAATTTAGTAAGTCTGCCTGTTTACTTAGGCCAGACATTGTTAGACTCTACTCACCCTAGGGTAAGTTGTTTTGTCTATTTAATGAAGTTTTTGAGTTATTCATTATTTTGCTAAATTTAACTAATTGTTCACCTTTAAATTGTTCTTTGTACTGTTCAATACAATGTGAACAGTCTAATCAATGAATTAAGTGATTAAGTAGCATTGTATTCATCCCATTCAAGATTCGTTAGCTGAATACATCACCTGCACCAATTACTGCAAATATCATAATAAATTACTGAGTTTTAGTAGTCCAGATTATAAATGTAGTAATTCTTGATAGATTTATTTCTAGACTTTAAAGAAATCGTACTTCTTGCATTTCAAGTCTACATCATTGATATCATAAATAAAGACGCTAATGTTAAGTAGGCTGTTCGGGTTTACCCCCTTTTTAACCTAAGTTTGATGTTAAGACTTGGTAACACAACTTGTGTTTTGTGCTAATTAGAAGAATCAATGTTGTAAAAACGGTCAATCGAAATTGTGTTTTTATCAACTGAGTTATAGAGAGGAAAAAAAATGTGTGTCATTAGTTCATTTTGATAAGCTTCTTTTGAAGTGCTATGGTTTTAGATTCATCTTACACTATCCATGGTAATGGTAATACCAACCTTTAAATCATAACTATTATTGTTTAACATTTACTGGATAGACATTTAAGATTAACACTATGATGGTATTTCACACGTGGTATGTAAACTTTGAGTCCATTACCTCCCCCCTCCCTCCCCCCCCCACACACACACTAGAGTGAGTGGGTGGGTCATTTAACTTCAAACTATGCATATAACACTACACTAAACTGTATGCATTCATTGCACGATCACTTTTACCCTTTCATTCTTTCATATATAATCTCTTCGTATGTTAAGCAATTCAAGAGTAAAATAACTGTTGTTTACATATGTAGACCATAGATAGAAATGCTTACCACCTAGTTTACGTGTATTCAGCACCTATCCCCAAGATTGATATAAAATTTCAGTGTTTTTATCCTATAGTGTATGAAATTGTAAGTCAGAGATCTATTCATTGCATACAATCATTCACTGTTAAATATAATAGTGTACTGGGAATGGATTAACTGGTTAACTCAGTAGTTACAACGTAAAATGTAGTCCTGAAGAAGAATTTCTCATTTCATTATAGATTAAAAACTGCATCCTTTAGCATTTCAGTTACCGAAATATACCATTGTTGACCACTTCAAGCATAGAATGTCACATTGTGATTATTTCATATTGTCATATGTTTTTATTTTTTATTTTTTTATCAGTATAACATATTTCCTAATTGATCTCTAGTCCATTTTATACTTTTATTGTCTTCATATTTTTACTGATAGTTGAAGATTGTAAGTACACTGTTGTATGCATTCTCTCAACAATACGCTAATTAAGTTTAACAGTGTTTAATTTTTTCAGTTATCCCTTGATTATTTTATAGAGCTTATCATTAATATGTTTGTTGATCAATCACTGTGTTAAGTTTACTAATATGGATGTGGGGTTTTTTTTTGCAGTGTTCAATGTTCTCAATATTTGGGGCTATATCGCATATCCATAAATAATAAGTTGATAGTAATTTACATATTTCTCAGACTTCTAATTCTCCTTTTTATCTAACGAAATGGGAAATAATTTTTTCCTAAACCTTGACGTTTACTTCATAGATGGCTTTCATCTTTTAAAAGACTCTACAGTTTATATTGAAGAAATCAAAGGGGTGTATAAGTAGTCAAACATGATTAACAGCTACCTTTCTCATCAGTTTATTCTACTGTGAAAAATAGAAATATTCACTCTTAATCATCCATTGTTATATCAATCATTTCAGGTGGGAATTTCTCCTTCTCAACTTTTTAAATCAACTATTCACAATTGTGTATTTGAAAAGAAAATTTTATTATAAACATGGGAAAGTTATCATATCCAACTGAATCATCGCATATATTGTGCTTTTTTCAATCTTTTCATATGTTCTAATCGGTTATCTGGAAAAATCTAAACTCCCTATATAGCTACAAAACTTTCTATGTATTTGACCATTCACTTTATATGTATTTAAGTTGATTCGTTAAAGAAAATTTAAGAGGAATTTGTATACTAAATTCAAAAGTAATGTTTTTACGATAATTTGTTGGATAGTGATAAGACAAAATGCAGTTACCCTTAAAGTGTAAATTGTTACGCTATGATGGGGGTCCTAGGGCGAAGTTCTACTGCTGTCTTGATGGGAGCTATGACAACAGTAGTTTTTCATGCAGGTGATCAACAAGTTCATACTGTGCTGCCTTCCATATGAGATGAGGGGATTAGAAGACGTTGGACTCATAAACAATACACTTCTCCCTGCCTTGTGATTTTTCAGTGTTGGTGTTATGGGTTTGTATATGGATTCCAAACAAAAACAAGTAAAATCTAAAACTTCTAAAATAGCCTTGTGTAACCGATCTCAAGTAGATGTTCCTTAATCTCCGCTGTCGAAGAATTCTGTTACCAACCCTTCTTTTTGGACTACTTCAAAAATAAATAGCCTTCTCCGGGAAATGTCAACTACTGTTACAACTCTGTCAACAGTCAAGTTCCTCAATTTTAAATGTCATAAAAGTTTTCAATTACCTTGCAAAATGATGTTTGTATAGAATACTGAATAAAATCGAAATAAGACGTAATACGTATTCAGAGAACCTGTTACGATGCGAAGTTGTGAGAACGAACGATTGATTATTGAGGATTGAGACAATTCAACCCGATTGATTCGCAAAGAGAAAACAAAAGACTGGAAACCAGCTAAGTTTATAGTATCTCGAACTGAAAACGTTTATGACGGAAAACGGACCCTATTTATAGAGTTTACAGTAGCCTTGGAGGGCAAGAAATAATTAGTACACTTAGAGGGACAGGAGCCAATCAGAACGCTAATGGGTCATACGCAATATAGACCCATGCACAGGAAAAAGAGCGCTAATTAAAACATTTCAAATATACCCAAACTATAAATATGGAATATTAGGGATACAGGTATCTCTAACATAACTTTTCCTCATTATCTAATTGGTAAAAGGTATACCCAAGTGTGTAGTAATCTCTATATCTCTTGGCTAGAAATCAGATCAGAGGAACGTGGAGTGGCATAAAGAATGTTTACTACTAATTTTTTTATATAGCAGTAGGTACTTGTTACGAGAATATCCTCAATAAACTTAGTCCGCTTCTCTATCACTGAGATAATTTCAGTTGGATTCAGCTTCTATCTTTGTAATTATAACTAAAATTCTTTGGTTAGATTTTGATTATTGCTGTCCCTAGGATCAGTGGATTTCAATGAGTAGTTGATGACTGTGTAGTGCACTCTGCATGAACTCACCATTCACTATCATGAATTGTTGTGGTGAATACAAAAATTTGTTTGTTTAATTAATGTTGATATGTTTACACTTCTGTTTTGAATTCTTTCAATGAGTCTTTTAATCAAAATACGCTGTATATACCTGAAACTCAGACTTTATTTATCTAATTGTGTTCTCTGTAGTGTTGTCTTGTCAAAGCCATTTTATCCATATGTACACCCATGCTGATATCGCCTAGAACAACAGTAATCTGACTTTTTGTTCCTGAAATGATTACAAGGTGGGTAGGAAATTCTCATTTCAACAGGGGTAGCTCACAAGGGATACTTTAAAACTGAATCGTGACCAACAACCACTTTTTTTTTGTTAACGAGGGTTTCATTATTGAAAAAAAAATTCTAAATAAAGACGTGTTTTAGAGAGAAAGTAAATCGTGTAAATTTCTCTTTCACACGTGTTTAGCGTTTAACCGAATACCTGATAGACACTTCACTGATCGTGTTAGTAAAATAAGCATAATTTCTGCCTTCCAGTTAATCCTACTTGAACATAAGCTGAACAAGCATATCAGGATGAGTTCATTAACGTGACAAGCGATCATAATTCTTTCCTGATGTCTAACTCTGTGTATTGCTATTCTATTCACTTTCTGTAAGGTTGGTGATTGTTTAGTCTTACATACACTGAATTGGCCAGATTACAATGAATATGATTAGTAAAAATTTATTCAGAGCTTTACACTACTTGACTTTTGGTACTGATTCCTATGCGATTAGCAAGCCAAGTTATCTTTAATCTTCCAATCTGTAAAAACAACAACCTGAGAGTATGTAGATAAACCTGTAAGAAGTCTAGATTAGAGACACAGTTTTTTTAGTCGTAAGTTCTAGTGTATGTAAATCGGATTGTTTGTATCTGGTTATTCATTAATTACTAGCCTTCGGATCCAGAATGTGCATTTCATCCTATTCCGGACTTATCAGTTGAACCTGCTACTTGTTAAAGTAACCAATTTCATGCTCTATAGTCCTGAGTGTTGACTAAATTCTATCCATCATTTTGTAATGTAACTAACCATCTCAGTATACGTTGATTGATATCTGTCAGTTAGAAGCAATCCACAGAAGCCCTGAACCAAACTTTTATATCTATTAGTACTCACCTATTGCCTTTAAACAACTTACACTAATCAAAGTTCATCATGATGATCTCGTAACTTAGGGATCACATTGAACAATGATCAAGGGAATTTAGTCAGCACTCAGGATCAAACAGCATGAAATTGGTTATTCTCCAGTGAATGATCATCAAGACTCGAACCCGACACTCACTAATTCAAACATTATGATCTTATCCACCATAGTGACAAGTTTCTATAACCGCTGTATTTTTCGGTACTCATCATCACAAAGATCAACATACGACCAGGCATTACTGCATAACGGTCCAAGTTGCCACATCAACACATCAAGTAACCAGGTAATAAAATGGAAGATGAAGAAGGAAAGAAAAGTTGGTTGCAAGAAGCAGAAAGTAGTAAAGAAAGGAAGGAAGATGAAGATAATATAATAATAATAAATAATATGTGTATACATCTACGCCACTGACATCGGTTCTCAGCTGACCACTGGTTTCTCTTGTCCCACGGTTTTCAATCGGCTAGTCTGCATCGCCGTACATGGCTCAAACGAACGGTCAACAACTTCATGCATTGATGGTATGTTTTAGTCTGGCAGAGGTAAATCGGTAGACAAGGTTATAAACCTTCATCGTTTGAGATGGTTAGGACACGTACTACATATTCCCAGTCACCGATGGCCTCGTTACACAATGTTGGCTGAAGTAGGTCCAGGCTGGAAAAAGGCCCGAGGTGGCCAGGCTAAAACATGGCACCAATGTATGAAGTATCTGAGTGTTGGTTTGAGCCATATGAGGCGATGCAGACTAGGTGGTTGGGGTCGGCGGGACAAGAGGAACCAGTGGTTGGAGACTCTAGGTGATATGGCTGAGAACCGATGTCAGTGGCGCAGATGTATACACACATTATCCTCATCTTAACAACGCTATACCGAATCTCACCATTTTGTCATTCCTCCTTTCTTCTCGTACTTAATATTTCTTTTGACTGCATTCTCTTATCTTCATCCTTCACCTCACTACCTTTCTACTTGATGTACTGGTATGAGGTGTGGCAACTCGGACCGTTAAGCAGTAATGCCTGGTCCTGTGTTGATATTGATTGATTTTTTCAGCCTAAAGTTACTTCGGCCAACACTGTGTATATTAATGAGGAATACAAGAGAGTAAGTGTAGTGATCGAGTGGAATAATACATAGATAATAACGATACTGAATGCCAATATGACTATTCCTCCGAGCAGCACCTTATTCTTTACTGAGTCATGTCAAATATCAAAAGATAAAGGCCGACCTATGACTACAAGGACGATAACTTTATTTGATAAACTGTAATGCACATATAAAATTCTCACATACAATAAAAATGTCCTAGACCAAAGATAGAATAACACAATCTCATTGGCTACATCACATACAGAATCGTCTAATAAGATTATTTTGTCTATATATAGACATAGACTAAAATCTGAAACAAACACTTCTACTCCAAAGGCTGATGACTTAAAATGATGATTTCCATTTTTGCCCACTTCCTATCAATAAAATGGACAGCGGTGTATTTTTATGCCGATTGATCTGTGCACTGATATGAAATTGTGATAGGAAACCATCAAATAAACCAAAATTCTTTTTTCCTTGAACTAGAAATTCTTTTCATGTGTAATGATTAACTAACCTGTCAGTATTGTGAAGGTGCATCTTATTCATGATAACAGTTATGATATTCACCAAAAATGCTGATTTACACCAAGAGGTGATTAAGGTTGAAAATTTCCATCATTCAGATTAGTCATAATAGTTCAAAATATGAATTATTATTTCAAGCAATTTAATGTTCTAAATTTGATCATGAAACTCCACTTTCATAATGCTCTATTTCCCATCAGAATAAGCCGAAAAAACTTCTTGACACTGGCTTGATTTTAAATTATCAACTAATCCCCTTTATTTGAATTTATGCACAATTCAGATTTCCTTCCATACTCAATAACGCAAAACTTGCATGCATACACAAAAATTTTCATCCACAGCTATTCTGTTATGTCTAAATAGTTACTTTTCATATAAAGGTGTTATAATTCAAGTTTATAGAAAACCTGAATTGACTAAAGTTCAAACCTCATCAGTGAGACACTTTCTGTAACCTTAATGATCTAACTACTGGTCATGTCTCGATTTCACTCGTGTTGTCGAGGGTTTCACACATAACTGTCTCCTGAATGTCTGATGCATAACTGTTCACGCCAACCACTGAGCTAAATTCTCTCATCATCATTCACATATAACCCAAATGCAAAAAATAACAACTTATTGACCATTGAGTAAGCAATCTGAATTAATCGTGTTACGGCAGATATTGATTTTAATCTAGGAGAATAAAGACAAGAGTTAGAAGAAAACTTGCATGATAACAATGCTTAGAGTAAATAGCAATACTTTACTTTTGGTTGTATTGTGTTTTCTGAGCTGGGTTGTTTAATCATGAAGCTTTCATCGTCCTTCTAGACGACATCATCAGCACTAACTTCACGATTAAACAACCCAGCTCAGACCATCCACCTGAGCTAGAAATATTCTCCACTAATTCTCTACTTTATTTGCGTTGATTCTTGTTATTCATAAACTTTTTTTACATCATTTCTATACTTAGGAACTATTTGCATTACATGTTACACCAAGAACTAAACAAATGTCTCATATTTATGCCGATATATTCAATCATTTGAAAGAGATTAACGCATGTGGTAGTCTTGAGCCACGTTTTCAAGGCACTTATGATTGTCTACTGTATCCACTCATAGCGAATACTCATCTACCAGATATATTATTACCGCCTAATTTATTATCCAAATTTGAGTTCATTGGATGTGATGTTATGACAGAAAATCATTTATTGATTATACTTACTAGGCCAGTGTATGTTACACCTAGTGTTGTTGAAATTTTAAGTCCTTTCCCATCCTCACCAACATCAAATGATGTAGCAGATGAAAAATCAACCTCTAAAGCAGAAATTTTAGCTGTAAGAACTACTACTGACATCAGTAGTCCAGTACCACTGAATATTGAAACATATCCATCTATGTCAACTTCACTATCGAAAAAAGCTTATATGCCGACGTTTTTCCAACAACCTATAGAAGAAGAAGGTGAGTTAAAGTGTTTTTATTGTTTGCTTCTTTGTTTTTGTATATAATCTAAAATAACAGTAACAAGTAGGAAGGAGCTCACAGCCTCCATTGTGTTACTCTATAAGGAAGGTACATCAGAAACTTTACGTAGAATCCCCAACAAAACTGGAATTAAGGTGGCATTTAAACCTACAAACTCACTCAGAGATAAGCTTTATTAGCTGGCTTGAGGATCCCATAGGTCAAATTACACAGACTAATCTAATTTTTTCAAATTCCATGAAGTGACTCTAAGGTCAAGCACATAGGTCAAACTAGCCAATCGGGGTCATTTAGAATGATAAACCCCAGTAAGATCAGTAATCCAGGAAAAAAAAACTCAGCTATTGCAATGCACGCATTAACACATAACCACACAAAGTAGGGTGGGTGTGGTAAAACCACTGTACTCAAGTTCAATATAATTAGGGGTAAAGATTGATTACTGAATCTTTGTTCATCGAATTTTTACCACCAATAAAAACAACATATATGAGGTAACAGGACTATAAAAGTCAGATGTTGAAAGTAATGTGACTATATTCATATTACTATGAGGAGTAATTTGTGTTCGAGACGTCGTCATCAAGTAAATAATACCGTATCACTGTGTAGTATACATCAAATAAACAAATCTAATATGGAATTACATTCTATCATAGTGCCCAAATTTTACACATATTAATCTAAAAGAGTATTTCAATTCCATTTTGAATATTTCACACAGTGAAACAGTATTATCTACTAGATGACATTTCCAGCAATACAGTCGGGATTGAGCTGCCATTTAAGCCTTAATATATATATATATATATATATATATATATATATATATATATATATATATATATATATATATATCAGAGTAGTCGAACGAAACAGAGTTCAAAACCTTGACCGAATTCAGAACTGTAGACCCAAGTAAGATGAAGAATCTAGAGAAAAACCTATTGCTATGAATCCAGTCATACACAAAGGATTGGATAGTGTGACAGTCCCTCCAATTAAATCACTAGTAGGTGTAAGGAGGCCTTCCATACGACAAATGAACGAGGAGAAATAGGACTGTAAAAGATATGCAATTACCTTTGATATTAATATAAACAATAAATATTATTCGATAGGTCATCAAGTAAATAATGCGATCACTGTGTGAAGAATTCAACAAACAAACTAACATGGAGTTATGCGCTATCACAGTGTCCAAGTCCTACTACTATATTGAGAGTGGAAGTGATGCATACAATGATATTTTTATAATCGCTCAAAAATCTGAGGTGCTAAGAGTACCCTTTCCATTTTCCTATAAGCATAGGGACATTGAATCTCCGAACAATGAAGCTGGCTGCAAGGCTGCCAAGGATTGCAAAAGAGATGAGAAGAGAGAGAGTCAATAATCTCATCCGATATTGTCACCCAGACGACAAGCACGAACACATTGAGTTCTCGAGTGGCTATCATGATGTCCACAAGAGCATTGAAGGCTCTCTCTTATGCAGTGGGGACCAATCTCCTCCTGAAGGATCAACATCATGACAGCAAGATTCAACTGAAAGGGAAGGAAAGTTACAATCACACAATGCTACGCTACGCACCTACAAATAATGCAGATGAAGAGAAGAAGGAGGAATTCTATAGACAACTGTAATCAGTAGTGGATAAGACCTCACCCCAGATGAAGACATGAAAATTCTAATGGGTGGGGCGACATGAATGCCGAAATGGGAGTGGACAACACAGGAAGAGAACTCATCCATCATGGGTCGACAGGCACTAGTTTGTGAAATGAACGAGAATGAAGAACTGTTTACAGACTTCTACGCATTTAATGATTTGGTGATTGGAATGAGGCAGTGTGTACAAGCACAAGGATATTTACAAGGCAGTGACATGGATCTGATTTCACCAGACACCAGGACACACTACACTACAAATCAGATCGACTCCATGTGAATGTGAAGGAAGTGGAGATACAGTCAGCCTACTGGACACAAGATCAGATGAAGAAGGGGAGCAGATGTAAGTGGTTCAGACTACTCACTATCTAGTGTAAGGAACCTACCCTCCAAATCAAGTTGAAGACCCGGAACAGAAAGTGAACTGAGGGACGAAACTACGAAGGACATCTTCACGTCAGTCAGTCAGTCATGAGTACAAGATGGAGATATCGAGCAACATCCCGGAGGAGACCTGTATAGAGGAACACTGGAAGTCTGTGAAAGGGATGTGGAAAGGAACCTGCGAAACCGCGTCAGGAAGAAAGAATAAGAGGCAAGACAAGGAATGGATCTCGACAGACACATGGAAGGTGATAGAGGAGGGAGAGGAAGATGGTGAAGCAGAAGATGAAACAGTGCAGTGCAGTGCTGGGATGAACAATGAAGGGAGGAACTGAACACAATCTACACTGGACAAGGAAGTGAAGAAGAGTGCACAGAAAGACAAAAGACACTTCTACGACACACTGACAAGTGAAGCAGAACAGGTTGCAGGTAGGAGAGACAGAGACCTGACAACATTATACCAAATAACCAGGTTACTACTGTCTGTGAGGGAAGAGATCAACACAGATGAAACCGATGAAAGATAGTGAAGGGAACGTAGTTATCGCTAAAGAGGAGAAACACAGGAGATGATGGGCTGACCACTTCAAAAAGCTGTTGAATCGACCACCACCACGACGACCACCTGCAACTCGTCCAGAAATACCACCAGCACCCCAGCCACACAACTATCAGTGAACACAAACTCCGTGACAAGAGGAGAAGTGAAGTCCTGAACGCCATAAAGTTGCTGCGAGCCAGGAAAGTAGGAGGACCAGATGGAATTCCACCAGAGGCACTGAGAACGGACTCAGAGACAACAGCGGACACACTCACACCACTATTACAGAAGGATGCGAGGAAGGGAGGAAAGGCACATGCCAAACTCCGCAAAAACAGGGAGACCTAAGTGGTTGCAGGCAGTGGCACGGAATCATGCTGCTGTCCACTCCATGCAAGCAAAATATTAAGCGGCATCATCCTGGAGAGACTGAAAGATGCTCTTGATTCAACTGGATTACGACCGGAACAGGCTGCTGGCTGGCTGGCTGGCTGGCTGGCTTCAGGAAAAACAAACCATGTTGGATCAAATTGCAACGCTACGCTATGCATCATCATAGAACAGAGCATAGAATGACAGTCAAGTGTATGGTTACCTGAACTTCATCGACTTTGGAAAGGCCTGCTATCGAGGCGTCAACCGAAAAGTAATTTGTCAGGCTGCTGCCTCAACACTACAGTTTCAGTGCCACAAAACTTTATCAACCTCATTCAACAGCTATATGCTGTATGATGGTACATGCTACATGCCAAGTGATTCTCAATGGAAAGCTGAGTGACGACGCCTTTGAAGTGAAGACAGGGGACAGGAGTAAGCTGAGGTTGCAGCCTACTATCACCGATGATCTTCCTGATTGTGGTCGACTGGACTGGACTGGACTAGAGTGGATCATGCAACAGACGACTGTGAGGAGAGAGAAGATGGGCATTGGCTGGCTGGCTGGACCGATGAAAAGACACTAGAAGAAGATTTTGATTTCGCCAATGATGATGATTTATGTTTAATGTCGCACAAACTCAAAGATCTACAGGCGAAAACTTAGTTGTCAGAAGAGGTGGGGCGAGGCAACGAATGAAGACGGGACTTCTTTCAGGTGAATGTAGAGAAGACGGAGGTGATGAAGATACCCAACCAACGAACCAACCACCACCAGCAGCAACAACAATAACATTATGCACCAATCACCATCAACGGGAGAAATGTAGTGGAAGTCGTCTCTTTCACCTACACCTGCCTAGGCAAGGCAGCATCGTTTCAACTACAGGCGGTGGCACAGGCACAGATGAGGGCGTCAAAGCCAGGATCGGAACAGCAAGCAAGACAGACCTTCCTGCATTAATCTGAAATCAGTGTGGAGATCTACTGCACTGCACTCAGCATAAAGCGTGAACGAGATGCGGATTTTCAACACAAATCTCAGTCAAGTAAGTCAGTGCTTCTGCGTGATGATTGAGAGACTTGGCGTGTCACGAAAGCATTTCCAACAAACTACAGATATTCATCAACAGCTGCTGCCTACGCTCACTCGATACTGACACTGCGGATCAGATGGCCAGACTAGAACAATTAGAATACGCAACAAGGAACTCTGGCTGGCAACGAACCAACAGAGAACCCATCCATCGCCCAACAAATATGCAGAAGAAATTGCAGATGGATTGGATTTTAGATATGTTGAGGAGATGGTTTGGGGCCATCACACGTCAGTCCAGGCCGTCGAGTGGAATGTGAAGGGAAACGACGAGTTGGGCGTCCGAGTCGAGGATGACATGAAGGAGATCATGTGAGGAAGAAATGGAAGCTTGTGGGTAGACGTGGAGCCAGGTTGAAAAGACTTTAGAGAAGGGAGTGAAATGGAGACGTGCTACTGAAGCTGTATTTTCTACTAGGAACCAGAGGGACAAGTAAGAATAAAAATAATGTTATGCCTACTTGACAGCTTCCGACCAAGGATACATTCATTGTGTGTGTGTGTGTGTGTGTGTGTGTGTGTGTGTGTGTGTGTGTGTGTGTGTGTGTGTGTGTGTGTGTGTGTGTGTGTGTGTGTGTGTGTGTGTTGGTTACTGGTATTTACACACAAGGGACCTATGTCTGTAGTATACCATTGTTGGCCGCCACAGCAGTGAAGCGTATTACTTTTGGACAAGTTACCGATCGTGGTTGAAGTAGTTGGTTGGTAGGAGCATCCTTGACTGGAAGCACAAAACTTGAGCATTTTAGGGCTGGGAAGATGCATAGCATTCACCCAATTTTGTTAATGTACTCTGCAAATTACATACATATGTTTAATCGCTCGACAATCTATTTCGTCTTTTAAATTCAATGTCAAATTCGGTTCGCAAATGTAATATTTTTTTGATGCTCAAATAAATTATCTCGTCTCTTTTGTTTTTTATATTCTTTTTGCCTTCAGTGCTCATCAAAGATGAAAGACAAGAAGTGCCAACCATTGAAACAGTATCAATAAATGCTTCAGGAGATGTTGATCTACGTCCTTTTTCAACCGCCGGTAATGTAAGCCAATCACATTCTGTTATTCCAGAATGGTTTCCATCATTTACTGAAGATGTTGATTATCGTACGTATATCCCACAACAACATACTGATCGTGTACCGTGTGTATCACAAACGTTATGCAATATCTCGTCTCAATCTGTCATTGATGATTGCAATCGAAGTCACAGTCTGTCTAGATTTCGTGAGAAAGCGTATTATCTAACTCCGAATGAAAGAATCCATTATGTTGAACAACAAATCGGGTATCCAAGAAAAGAATTGAAAGATCATGTTTTACGAGACTCAGTAACTAACCGAAGTAATTCTCTTCTTCCATCTCCTCTTTCTACTGATTCCCACCAAGAACTATACACATACCACGAGCAAGTTCATGCGCTCTTTTGCCTACACCATCGGTGAGACCATCAAATTCCTCATCATATCGTCGATCATCATCTAGGCGGCGGCCGCCATCACCACCTCCTCGTTCTTCCTCACGTAAAACTGCTTCTGTTTCTGCGCGCTATCATGGTCATCATCAATATCGTCGTTCACGTTTTCGACGTTGATGTGAAATTAAGATTTTTATGTGGAAGTCTAATTGAAATCCTATTTGTTTTTCAGCATTTTATTCATTTCATATATTTTTTAAGTGAATTTTGTACAGTAAAATATTTAACTTTATATTTTTGGATAAATAATAACGAACTGCACATTTCGAAGGTGGATATATCGTATTGATGCTTTGTTCTCCGGTTAGTCATTTCATCATAAAGTTGTTTTACTTTTACTCCACCTTCTCAGTTTTGCTGTTTTTGTCTTCGTCGTTATCATCATCACCGATCCAGATAGAGCATTCGTTCCTTCATCTGTTGATTTCCAACATTTTGCTTACTTTCACTATTATTATTATTATTATTATAGGCATCAGCAACATTATTCCTCCTATTTTGTCGTATATTTTCTGATAGATTCTTTCATTACATATACCACCACCATGGTCATTATTATTATTATTGTTACCATTGTTGAAGTATTTTCCAGACCACTGTTTTCCAAGATAGACCATTGCTACTACTTAACACGTTACTCAGTCGATTTGGGATTCATGTAGTCTATTCATGCTCTCGTGTGATTAAGTGTCTTATTTTTGCATGTATCCCCACCACCTTTACGTGTGTATGTGTGTGTGTGTGCACGCGTGTATGTGTATACGACATGTCTTTTACATTTATCCTTTAATTTGGATGATATTTTATCATATAAGATTTTGAGAAAGAAGAAGAGAGAAAAGCATGAAGGACTTATCTCTTCTTCTTCTTGTACAGCTGAAAATTATTACAGAAACGTGGTTTGTAATGAAACTTTCAAGTTGTTTGTGAATTTATTCATCCTTAGTGTGTATTTTTCTGAGATGGGGTAGGTCTAATCACTGTAACTAATCAATGCAATGCCAATGAAGCAGCAATAGTAAGGGTGTCCACTGTTATTGAGTGATATATTTTGCCTTTAGTGTAGTTTATAATTAATTAGCTTGGTCAGACTGTAGATTCAATTGTCACTTATTCTTTAACTTTGAATGTCTTTAAAGGCCACCAAGTAGTTACTGAAATAACCATCCAGTTTTCTTTAGGTTTTCTGGAAAGTTATTTTTTCCGTAAACTAGTCAAGTGTTATTGGTTATTTCAGTAGCTGCTAGGATGACCTTCGAAGTTATTCCTAATCATTAAAATTTCTTCACCTTATTAGTTTCATTGTAGAAAAAGTGTTGATGTAAATCGCTGAGACACTTGACTTTCAGACAATAAGTTTGAGGGTTCAAGTACCACTGTATCTACTTTAACCTAGACAGTTAGGTAGCGCTCTAGGATCTCATACAATATTTGTGACTTTTAGCCTAGTACATAAAAATGTAGTGTTGAGTTGTATCCATTCACTCGGCATAGTACTATCTAAGTTACTATTCATCACGGACTAACATCAGTTGGAGAACCATTGAAAACCTGGCAGCGCCGTCCTAGTATAAGGCTTCCAAGCGGTGCACGCCTGTGGTCTCTTCAAAAGTCGGACTCATGACCTGCAGCTTTCACAGTGCGCACGTCACCATTTAGCTACTGGGGCGAAATCAAGTGGTTTATACTTTCCTACTTTTGCAAACTTGCGATTTAACTCCACCTTCATCCTGTGCTCTCGTTGAGTACCCGTCTTCACATCCTACTTGTTTTGCCCTATTTGTCATGACTTCTTATTGGAACTTTGAGAAATCTTATCTCGAAGCAAGTCACTAATGAATCCAGAATGCATATTTCATCCTGTTTGGGACTCTTGAGCTGGGTGAATTACAAACAATAACATGAAGTATGCATGTTAGTTGGTTGAAGTCTTCAGGTGGTATAAACAGCGGATTTTCTTAAAATGTATTAGCTTTCCAATAGTGCAAAAGCGTTCAATATTTATCCAGACTTAAGATTTAGATAGTACTGTACCCAATTCCTATTTGGATTTTTGTGGTGCTCTTTTCTATTGATTTTTCTGGTGATGTTTTTTCTTTGGAGTTGAGATATTGGATCAGTAGACAGTTTAGATCTTGAACGCTAGTGGTTTACCCTTATATACTTGGTTACAGAATACTATTGATTAACTGATATGATTCATGTTTAAGAGGTCGATGCAACACAATGTTCTACACTTGAATGGATACATAAGAACAAACTTCAGAACTCTGTATATCAAAATCCCAACCCAGCCACCAGTAAGTCAGATAAAGCAGGAAGAAAGATGTTTTCGTTGCCTTTTACTGATGTTAGACTGCTCAATACTGGTGTGTATATATCGAATCTCCTGAGGGTGAGCTTGCAAATCTGCCATTCACTGGATGAGTCTCGAGATTCGAATCAGGATTCCCACGGACGTTCAAGCGTTCTCAAGTGGTGTGACTAAAAATGTTAAGTTTTCTGAATCTAAGTTCTAGGAAGTAGTAATACTTCCGAACGCTAAATCAAAGCGGTCAGCTTGATCACTGATTTTACTTTGGGTAAATTGATCACTTTTGACCGAAGACCTTAATGAAATCCAACTAGAGTAGGAAATATGGACCATTGGATTCTGACCCAGTGACTCAATGGTAACGTGGTAGTCGCTGAAACTGAGGGTCCTGGGTTTGATCCTTGGGGGGGGGGGGGTCATGGCTATGAGCTATCGAGGAGTTCCATACTAAGATGAAACAGCTACCCATTGTTTTCCCAGTTGATGTCGGTTCATGTTGAATACCAACCTGAAATCAATAAAACCCCTACAAGCCTCCATATTCAAATTGTGATTACTTAAGACCCTGCTGACAATACAAAATAGTCTTAATATTTCTCACAAGCCTGTAAAATACTTATACCCAGCCAGCCCCTTTTTTTTACTACATGGTTGCTCAAGTCGAAGATGGAATGGTTTTGATGTGGTAGTTTGATAGATGGTAGTCTTCTTGTCTACCTTCAGCGTTCTTAGCTACCTCAACAATTAAGAGAATGTACAGTTCAGTTTTCACGGATATGTGTAAGTAACGCAACCACCCTGTGTGGTTTTACGCACTAGACCGTGAGCCATGCCTAATGTATAAAGACGTGTGATACGGATGAGAGGCAGTACCATCAAACTGGTATGCTTCACTGATCATCCCATTTTACAAGAAGAGAGAGAAGTCTTCCTATGACAAACGTGGGGGAATTATTGTGTCCAAGATCCTAGGGTTCATAGTTATCCAACGCCTAACTGGAGCTCGGGAACAGCAAACTCGAGAAAACCAGGCAGGTTTCAGACCTGGACAAGGGTGTACCGATCATATTTTCATCCTACGACAGGTTCTGGAATACAGGCATACTTACCGGTGACCGACACTCCACATTTCCTGAAGTTAAGGCGACGTTCGACGCTGTCGACCGTGAGGTGTTGTGACAGTGTCTGACTTTGAATGGAGTACCGAGCAAGCTTATAACGGTAATTAAAGCTCTACTCGGACTCACGTAGCCGTTTAAGGGCTTATGGAGAATTGTCATGTAAATTGATGGTGACTGGTGGTGTCCGCTCTCATCGTTTTTATTTAACTTCCTTATAGATATATTAACGGGCATAACCTTAAATACGTCTGACTTCACAGGCATTGACCTACTTCCTGGAGGTCATCTAGTTGACGAAGTACGCCGACGATATTGTCCTGTTAGGTGAAGACGTTGACAAATAACAGTCTTCTTTCTGAATGCATCGAGTAGAAATCTGAGTGTGTTTGGCATGCACTTCGCTGGCATCTGTCAAGTGTTAGTTGATGTTCCAGGACTGGTCTGCTACTAGTTTAATGATAGGGAGTGAAGTTGTGAAATGCGTCGACCACTTCACCTAAATGGAGCGTCGCATCAGTCCAAAACGTCTGGTTACTGACGAAATCCCATCTTGGGTACAGAATGCTCGTTTGGCATTTGTCAACCTGCATCATATGTGGCGCCGACTGGTCGGATGATATCCGACTATCTATCAAAGGATGAGTGTGCTGCTCTGCAATCCATTGTCTTGCTATATGGTTGCGAGACATGTCCCTTTGAAAGTAGGAGATACGAATGGGTTACAAGGGTTTCCATTGAGGTGTCTTTGTAACATTACTCATGTTTGGTGGGATCATCACGTAAGATGTCTTGAGATAAAACAAAGAGTGCTAGGCTAGATACGTAAGTTGATTGATGAGGCGTAGATGTATTCCCTCTTTGGCGTCTTCTAAAGCTCGAATGTTTGCACTAACCGTTATCTTGTAATTGCTCATTCTCCCACACAACTTCTTTTAGTATCACTTTTTCTACCCACCTGTTCTTTGTATACTACTGTGAGGTATGGCAACTTGAACCGCCGCCCTTGTGTACGAGGTTCTACGTTTATTTTGACTATCTTTAATCTGCGTTCTGCTTCAGGGACTTGCTTTCTTTTTTACTGACCAGTCCTTCTTGTTTTCCTCTATAAAAGTTGCCAGTCAGTCGTCCACTCTTATAACGAAGATGCTGCACCATGTACTATTGATACGTATTCTTGTCAGTAGCATACGCTATGGTGCACCTTGGTAACTCTTATCGAGTGTTTTTTTAAAGATCGACTGTTTGAGCCAGTTCCCCTCCATTGATTAAGGTGTTAATTACTCGCGCTGACTTAGTCTTAGTTGAGAGTGACATTTTTCAGAAGATATACTCACTATGTCAGAATATATATTGCTTGCTTCGTGTGGCAGTAGTCTTGGTGAACTATCATAAAGCTTAATGATTTAAATCAAGTTTGCTTGTTGCATTCAAAGGATATTACTCATCTGCAAATCATATGATCTGAACTGTTTGTACTATACATCGCTGAATTACTCAACTACATTTCAGTAAGTTGAAGGTGAGACAAGTGACTGTCAGACAGTGGAAAGCAGTAATTAACAGTCAATAAATAACATGATGAAAGCCAAGTTGTAAAAGATATACTTGTAGCTAAGTGGTCTAGACAACCAGTTAACATCTGTTGGATGACGGATTCGAATTCAGTCCATCTACTTCAGCCATATGCCGACGGGTTCATCATCAGGATCAAAATAGGACTAGGCATTACTGTATAACGGTTCAAGTTGCCACACCTCATATCACCACATCAAGTGACGACGCAATAAAAGTGGAAGATGACGGAGGAAAATAAAACCGGTCGCAAGAAGTAGAAAGTAGCATAAAGAGGAAGGAGGAATGAGAAAATGATGAGACCAAGTATTGCGGTTAAGATGAAGATGATATATGTATATACATCTACGCCACTGACATGGGTTCTGAGCTGACCATTGGTTTCCGTTGTCCCACGGATCCAAATCGGCTAGTCTGCATCGCCATACATGGCTCAAACGAACAGTCAACGACTTCATGCATTGATGGTATGTTTTAGTCTGGCCACCCTGAGTCTTTTTTCAGCCTGAAGTTACTTCGGCCAACACTGTGTTATTATGAGGCAGATGGTAGTTAGACATACGTAACACATGTCCCAGCCAATCATATCAGTCGATGAAGGTTCACAACCGTATCAACTGACTTACCTCTCCTATTTGAAACTCTACTTCTGACTTCTGCGTTACTCACTTGGTGACCCCCAGAAACACATCGTATGCTACGAAGTTAGTGGTGGTCAAACAGCTGAAGCCTTTTCATATTTTCTACTTTTAATGGTCATGTTTCGCAAGCATGTGGTAGAACAGAGTGGACTGCAGCCGACGGGTTACCTTCTTACAACCATCCAGTGGCATAATGCTTCTTGCTACTGAACACGACTGTTCGCCTAGTTGATGAAGTATAATAACACATTCAGTCGTTCACTAGATAGGAATTATCAACA